ACAGACAGACTGACAGACAGATACTGAGACACTCATACATAAATACATTTTCATATATATTGATTCCTAGATAAAACCTTCCGAACGAATCGCCAAAGGCTCCTTCTCGGACCGAAGGGCTATCCATTTCACCTTCCGCGAGCGCTCCCTGATTCTTTATTTTGCCAGCAATGAAATTCGCTCCTTTGTGGGTCACACTCAAAGACTCGATTGCGATTGGTCGGTGATAACCAATGGGATATGCATGTGGATATTACGGTGTGGCCTACAGAGGGTTGGCGAACGTGTGTGAAGTAAATAGAGTGTTATTAATAGTGTAAGTATAAGAAGAGGTTACATAAGAAGGATACATAATATGCTTTAATGCGAGTGAAAGGTTTCGATCCTCTATGCATGACCAGAGGAGTAAAATCGCATTAAAAGGGAGGTGAGTAAAAGGAGATTGAAAAGCGGCCTTTGAGGTTTGGTTCCCAGGCAAGAGTCAATGCATTTTTTTTTTTTTTTTTTTTTGAGATGGAGAAGAGAGAGAGAGAGGAGAGAGACTGAGAGAGAGGATAGAATGAGATTGATGATGATGAGACGAGGAGAGACGAGAAATCGTCAGGATGAGATGATGGAGGGGAGAGAGAGAGAGAGAAAGCAAAATTATAGAAATTTATGTACTTAAATATACTGACATTGTCCCATGGATAATAAAAAAACTATGGTGATGATTAACGTGATTCTCGGGATATTCTCGGTTCCAATAATAACGATGATAAGCAATAATGACAGTGCGGTGATGATGATGATAGTGATGATGATAACAATGGTGATGGTGATGATTGTGTTCATGCTGATATTGATGTTGCAAAGGAAGATGGAAAACATATATTGTTAATGATGATAACAATAACAATTACACCTATAAAATGATTAATTCATGATGATGAAAATAACGATAACAACAAATCATAACATTGACGATGAGAATGGCAACGGAGATAACGACATCAACACCAGAACTACCATCAACAACAACATCAAATAAACAATTCTAGCCACAACAAAAAACAAAAAAATCAGTATAAAACAAACAAACAAAAAATGCTATACGAAAAGAAATGAATCCATAGAAAAAGCAAACAAAACTGAATAAAACAGAAACAAAACAATACCCATCACCAAAAAAAAGAAAAAAAATCATAAAAAACAAAATTACCATAAAACTATACGAAAAACAATATCCCATAAAAGCAAACAAATGCCTTATAAAAAAACAATACCCATCAACAACAAAAACAACAAAATTGCCATAAAAACAACAAAACTACCATAAAAAAAAAAAAAAAAATCCCATCACACCGACCCCCTCCTCACCCCCCCACCCAAACCCAGCATCTCCCAGCCCCGCCCGAACCGCCCCTTCGGCCAAACCTTTAAGTCGCAGAGGCCTCTTGATGGTGCTCCGTTGATGTTGTACTCCTGCGTCAGGATGCTGTTGCCCTGGATCGCCCCGTTCATCTTCTCCCGGTTCCTGTAGACGTGCTCCTTCGTCACCAGCTCGAAGATGTTGTTGGTTCGCTTGAGGATCTGTTTGGGGAAGGGGGGAGGGGGTGGTGGAGGGGGGGTTAGATCTTATTGTTATTATTAGTGTTTTAATTGTTATTCGCGTTATTACTATTATTGTTATCATTAATGTTATTATCATTATCATTTTCATTGGCAGTATTAGTATTATCATTAATATTATCAGAATTTTATATCATTTCTTATCATTTTCAGTATTCATCGTCTAGTACTATATCTTTTTTACTATCATAGATCATTGTAACTTATGTATGTATGTGTGTGTGTGTGTGTGTGTGTATGTGAGTGAGTGTGTGTGTGTGTGTGTGTGTGTGTGTGTGTGTGTGTGTGTGTGTAGTGTGTGTGAGTGTGTGTGAGTGTGTGAGTGTGAGTGAGTGATTGTGAGTGAGTGAGTGAGTGAGTGTGTGTGTGTTGTGTGATGTGTGTGTTGTGTGTGTGCTGTGTGTGTGTGTGTGTGTGTGTGTGTGTGTGTGTGTGTTGTGTGTGTGTGTGTGTTGTGTGAGTGTGTGTGTGAGTGCGTGTGTGTGAGTTGTCTGTGTGTGTGCGTGCGGCGCGTGTGCATTAGCGTGTCTTTGAGGTACCCCGCGGTCTTCGCTATAAACTTTTCTAGTTTTGAAATTAATCTTTGGGAAATTTTCAAACCAAATTTTCGTGGAATTCAACGCAAAATAAGCAAAGTTTATGATATGATCAGAAGTTCATATTCAAATCAGCACTTTCATTAACTTTTCTTGGGCACTTTGCGATTTCGTTTAATTTTCCTCTCTTTCGCTCTCATTTTCTTTCAGAAACTTTTTAATTATGTTATTTCTTCTTTAATTTCTCATTCTTCTTTGTATCCTTTCATTAATATACTACTCTCCTTTTTTTAAATGTTCCTTGGTGTCTACCTGTCTATGTGTGTGTGTGTGTGTGTGTATCCGTCTCTCTATCTATTAATGATAAAGATAACAATATTGTTAATAGTAATAGCAATAGCATTTGTGATAGCAATGGTATTTATGACAACAATGACAGCATCAATGTCAGTACCAATAGCAAAAAATTTTATTTGTCTATCAGTCTCTCTCTCTCTCTCTCTCTCTCTCTCTCTCTCTCTCTCTCTCTCTCTCTCTCTCTCTCTCTCTCTCGCTCTTCTTTCACTCTCTCTCTCTCTCTCTCTCTCTTTCTGTCTCTGATTGTTTGTCGGTCTTTCTCTTTCTCTCTCTTTCTTATTCATTCTCCTCTTCCTTCCCTGTTCTCTCATGTACTTCCCCCTCTTCATTTTATTTTACCGCTCGTCTCCTTTTTCCTCATTCTTTCCTTCCTCTATCACTTGCCCTTTATTCCCCCTTTCCTCTTATCTCTCCCTCCTACATTACCCATTCATCCTTGTCCTATCTTTCGTCTTTTCTCCCTTCTCAATTCTCTATTCCCTCTCCTCCTCCACCATTTGCCTTTTTTTGTTCCTTTCTCCATTTCCTTCTTTTCCTTGCTCCCCTTTCCCATTCCCCATTTTCTTTTTCTTGTTCTTTTCCCTCCTCTCTTTCATTTTTTTCCTCCTCTGCCACGTTCGCTTCCTCTTCCATTCTGTTCTCTCCTCTTTTCCCTTTGTTTCAGCTCTCTGTCTCCCCTTACTGAATTTTATTTCTCCTTTCCTTCGTCCCTTTATTCTCTTTTTCACTTCTTATCCCTCCCCCTTCCGTTCTGCATTCCTCCTCCCTCTATCCATCTAGTCTCTGTTTCTCTTTCTCCTTCTTCCTTCGCATTTTTCATATTCATCCTCATGTTCCCTTCTTTTTTCCTTTCCTTCTTCCTTCACTTGTCCTTATGCCTCTTTTCTATCCCTCTCCCTTCTTTCCTTCGCACTTTTTCAATATACCTCCTTCATTCCCTCTCTCTCCCTTCTTTCCTTCGCACTTTTCCTATATACCTCCTTTATGCTCTCCCTCTCCCTTCTTTCCTTTGCAATTTTCCTATCCATCCTTCTTATTCTCTTCCTCTCCCTTTCCTTCGCACTTTTCCTCCATACCCTCTTTATTCCCTTCCTCTCCCTCTCCTTCCTCTTTCCTTCACACCTTCCTACATACCCTCTTTATTCCCTTCCTTTCCTTCTCCTTGCTTCTCCCTTTTTCTTACCTTCTTATTCCCTTCCTTCCGTCTTCCTTTCTTCTTTCCTTCGCAATTTTTCCTCCATACCCTCTTTATTCCCTTCTCTCTCATTTCTCCTTCTCCCTTTACTTTTCTACATACCCTTTCTTTCCTCCCTCTCCCATCTCCTTTTTTCATTCCTTCACACGTTTTCCTCCATACCCTCTTTTTTCCCTTCCTTCCTTCTTTCTTCACACTTTCCTCCATACCCTCTTTATTCCCTTCCTCTCCCATCTCCCTCCTTCCCCTTCCTCTCACGCCCACTCGACTTACCTCGGTGAACGTGAAGTCGACGTGCGGGCGGCTGAGTGTGAACCAGTCAGTGAGTCTCTTATTAACCAATTCCGGTATCGTCTGCATCAAGCTGTTTCCTATGTACTGAACCACCATCTTGCTCCTGAAAGGAAAGGGGAAAAGGGAATGGGTTAATTTTGGGTGGATTTCGGGGTCGGGTTGTTATGGCTGTCGTTCTTTTATATGGTCGATGGTTTTAGTCATTTATGTTTGTTTATTATTCGTATTTGATGATAATTGTTGTTATATTTGGTGGTTTGTGACTGGGATTGTTGGTTTATTTTAAAGAGAGAAAAAATCCAGGTTTGCCCAACGGAAGTCAATAATAAAATCAAGGTGGAGCAAGAACAAAACATTTATTTTAGGGTTTGATCTTTACCAGCGCATTTGAAACACGTTTAAAAAATGCAAAAGTTCAAGCGGAGAGGCCATAAGATGAACGAAACGATGTCATGATGGAAATTTCCCGAAAGAAGTATCCAATATAGATTTTTTTTTAAATGTAATTACCCTTTGCAACGTTATATTGTTTTTTATAGGAAATAGGATAGTGCGTGCTTCAAAGGTAACACGCAAAATTAAATGAATAGATAAATAGATAAAAAAAGAAAAAAAAATCATTCGTGAATTGTGAATGAATTGACTTGGATTCACTAAATACACCAAGATTTTTATTTATTTATTTATTTATCTTTAAATAACACGTACCTTTTACTCTAGACGGGCACCAAACCCACGCAAGGCAAACTTACCCAAACAATATACAGAAGGGAAAGATCTCAAAGAGTATGTTTCCCTTCAGCGATAACGACTGCTCCTCCTGCACGAGGGTGAGGTTGACCTGGTTGACGAACGCCCTGTTGTCAAAGGTCAGCTGGAAGGTCACGTGTAAGGTGTCCGTCACTGTGGACTTTTTTAAGA